TCTATAAATCAAACAAATAAGAAAAATTTTAAGGCTACAGAGTTTTGGGTTTACAGGAAAAAAACTCTTCAAAATCTTGATGGCAGTCCGTTCGCCCTTCCCAGGCGAAGCAGGTGGTAGGTGCTGTAGATCCTTGTGGGATGGCACCTCCCTGTCTTAGCCGTCAGGTGTCATCTGGAGGTTAGGTTAGGTTTTTTGTGTTGTGTGCCAGATCTTCAACCTATAGGGGAAAAAGGCTCATGGTTGCTTCTCAAGAAATTGTGCCTGTTTCTTCTCAGAGGTTAGGTTAGGTTTCCTTTCCATTCCTTCTGGCGAAACATTGTCTTCTGGGCCTGGTGGAACTGTGGTCTTGGCTGGTCCAGTTCGTCTTTCAGTCCTGTCTCCCATGATTCATCAAACTGTGCTGTTAGCATCAACTTATCATCGCTAGGTTCAGGTTGTTAGGATGAAAAGTCATTGTGTATGTTTAACACACAAGTGAAAGTCTAGCAGAGGAAAGAAACAGATTCTCCAAACCCAACTACATGTTTCTGTGGCTTGCACCACGTCCTCAGGTTGGTTTATAGAGACATCTCTTCCTTGCCGACCCCACTTGTACTTTATTAAAAAGTTGTTACATACACTGCTATTTATACCAACGGTCACATGGCAAACACCTACAACTACTACAAAGTTTTGTCCCTACGTCATCAGAGATGTGGTTTTTACCACGTTTCGTTGCTGTTGTACTGACACAGTTCGTTTGCGAGTCCAAGGATCACTGCATAATAGACTCCAGCATCCATATGTCAAACAACTACAACTAGTACATAGTTATGTCCCTACGCCCTCAGAGAGGTGGGTTTACCACGTTTCGTTGCTGTTGTACTGTCCTAAAGTGACACAGTTCGTTTGCAAGTCTATGAATCAATACATAATAGACGTAATATACTAAAGGCTACAGAGTTAATCGATGCCATCGCTGGTCGAGGGTCCACTGTATATAAATATATATATATATATAAATTATATATATATACATATATATATATATATATATATAATATATATATATATATAAAATATATATATTATATATATATATATATATATATATATATATATATATATATATATATATGTGTGTATGTGTGCATCTCAGATCATCTTCCTCTCTGCTTCTCCCTCACATTATTCACGCCTGTTGCTCCACATAAACGTAATCGTCATAATGAAGCCAAGACCATGGTTGGTCGTGCAGGTGAAAGATAGTGATTCGTACCTGGTTGTGTGTGTACTCACCTAGTTGAGGTTGCGTAGGTCGAGTCCGTGTGTGTGTGTGTGTGTGTGTGTGTGTGTGTGTGTGTGTGTGCGTGCGTGCGCGCGCGTGTATGTATCAGTGTGCGTGTGTGTGTGTGGTTATGGGTGGAAGGGATGTGTATAAAACACTTCAGTAACTCTAATTATCCCTATGAACAACCACGAGACTGGTATTATTTGTCATATAAACAAATAAGGTCAAAATAGTGTAATTTTACTAATATCACTGAGTGATTACCCTGTAAATTCCCCTATGGATAAATGAAATACGGTCGATAACAGTGTTTGATTTGAATAATACCACAGAGTGGTTACCCTTTAATTTTTACAAGTCGCTGTAGTAGTAAATAATTATCACATTAAGTACTTGTCTAGGAATTTAAACTGATAGATTATAGAGGTATGGGTGTTTGTGGGAAACAATCAGGCTGCAGCATTAGGGTTAAAAACAGCAGTTATTACCGGGATACCTCAGCGATATGTTTAAAAGACAATATTCAAAATAAAGTTTTTAGTAATGGCAGATCAATTTATCAACAAACAAAGAGAGATAGTAGAGGACAATGAGTGACTAGCTCCCTTAAGGTATACTATACAAATAGTAGGAGTCTAAGAAATAAGATAGATGAGCTGAAATTTCTTGCAAGTGTAGGTAATATAGATATTATTGGTATAACAGAGACCTGGTTCAACCTGAAAGATAGAGAAATGCCTTCTGAATGCAACATACAGGGTTATAAACTATTCCACACTAATAGGGTCAACAGGAAGGGTGGTGGTGTGGCGATGTAAGTCAGAGAAAATGTAAATTGTCTTAGACATGATATAAGATTAGAAACATCGAACACAGAATCTGTTTGGCTACAGTTTCTCGAGGAACGTGACAAATTAATTGTGGGTGTGATTTATAGGCCCCCAAACCTTGATAGGGAGTGCAGTAAGCTGTTTTGGGACGAAATTCATAAAGCATCTAGATATGAAAATGTTGTGATAATGGGAGATTTTAACTTTAGACAAATTGATTGGAACAATATGACAGGAAATCTTGAGTCTAGTGACTTTCTTGATACGGTTCAGGATTGCTTTTTAGAACAGTTTGTGACAGAACCAACTAGAGGAAACAGTCTGCTTGATTTAGTTCTTGCCAACAAAGATTCGCTAATTAATAATCTTGAGGTTAATGGTGAGCTTGGGGAAAATGATCACAAATCACTTAGTTTTAATATATCATGGAATTACCCAGATAACTGCAATCAAATCTGTCCCAGATTTTCGCTTGGCCGACTTCATGGGACTGAAAAATTACTTGGGTGGGCTAAATTGGAATGTCCTGACTATGGGTCAGGTAGGTGATCTTGGTTGCCAATATGACGTTTTTCAGAGCATAGTACTAGCTGCCCAGACAACTTTTGTTCCGAGTAAGGAAATTAGATCTAACAAAAATGATCCCAAATGGATGAACAATAGATTAAAATATCTCATTGGTCAAAAGAGAGGCATATATAGGCGTATCAAAAGAGGGGATGGGCAGTTAAGAAATCAATATATTCAATTAAAATAGAAATAAAAAAAGGAATAAGGAAAGCAAAAAGGGATTATGAAGCTAAGGTCGCAAGGGATTCAAAGACTAACCCAAAAGGGTTCTTTCAGGTATACAGAAGTAAGATTAGGGACAAGATTGGCCCACTTACGAGTAACTCTGGTCAGATCACTGACAGTGATAAGAATATGTGTGAAATTCTAAATACCTACTTCCTCTCAGTTTTCACCCAGGAAAATACTAGCGATATTCCTGAAATAATAGATTATGTAGAACAGGGTGATAATAAACTATGTACGATTGCGGTAACTAGTGACATGGTCTTCAGACAAATAGAGAAACTAAAACCTAACAAATCACCAGGTCCTGATGAACTGTTTGCAAGGGTGTTAAAGGAATGTAAAGAGGAACTTAGCATACCTTTGGCTAATCTTTTTAACATGTCACTACAAACTGGCATAGTGCCTGATAAGTAGAAAATGGCAAATGTAATATCTATTTACAAGGCAGGTGACAGGTCCTTGGCTTCGAACTATAGACTAATGAACCTTACCTCCATAATGGGAAAATTTATGGAATCAATAATTGCAGAAGCAATTCGTAGCCATCTTGACAGGCACAGATTGATTAATGAATCTCAACATGGTTTTACAAAGGGGCGTTCCTGTCTTACGAATTTACTAACTTTTTTTACTAAGGTGTTTGAGGAGGTAGATCATGGTAATGAATATGATATTGTGTATATGGACTTCAGTAAGGCTTTCGATAATTCCACACCAGAGGCTATTGAGGAAACTTAGGGCACACGGAATAGGAGGAGAAACTTTTTCCCTGGGTAGAGGCATGGCTGACAAATAGACAGCAGAGAGTTTGCATAAATGGGGAGAAATCAGAATGGGGGCACGTCACAAGCGGTGTTCCTCAGGGGTCAGTGTTGGGCCCGTTGTTGTTCACAATTTACATAAACGACATAGATGAGGGAATAAATAGCGACATAAGCAAATTTGCTGATGACACCAAAATAGGCCGTCGAATTCATTCTAATGAGGATATTAGAGCACTCCAGGATGATTTGAATAGGCTGACGCAATGGTCGGAGAAGTGGCAGATGCAGTTTAATATTGACAAATGCAAAGTTCTAAATGTTGGACAGTTAAATAACCATGCCACATATAAACTAAATAATGTAGATCTTAATACTAGTGATTGTGAAAAGGATTTAGGAGTTCTGGTTAGCAGTAACTTAAAACCAAGACAACGGTGCATTAATGTTCGCAATAAAGCTAACAAAATTCTTGGCTTCATATCTAGAAGTATAAATAATAGAAGTCCTCAGGTTGTTCTTCAACTCTATATATCCTTGGTTAGGCCTCATTTAGGCTAGCTGGTCTAGTGGCTAACGCGACGGGCTGGAGTTTTGAGACTCTATGACCGCGGGTTCAATCCCGGCCGGGGGTATGGCTCATTTAGGCTATGCTGCTCAGTTCTGGTCACCGTATTACAGAATGGATATAAATGCTCTGTAAAACGTACAAAGGAGGATGACAAAGATGATCCCATGTATCAGAAATCTTCCCTATGAGAATAGACTGATGGCCTTGGATCTGCACTCTCTCGAAAGGCGTAGAATTAGGGGGGATATGATCGAGGTGTATAAATGGAAAACAGGAATAAATAAAGGGGATGTAAATAGCGTGCTGAAAATTTCCAGCCATGACAGGACTCACAGCAATGGTTTCAAGTTGGAAAAATTCAGATTCAGGAAGGATATAGGAAAGGACTGGTTTGGTAATAGAGTTGTGGATGAGTGGAATAAACTCCCGAGTACAGTTATTCAGGCTAAAACGTTGTGTAGTTTTAAAAACAGGTTAGATAAATACATGAGTGGGTGTGGGTGGGTGTGAGTTGACCTGACTGGCTTGTGCTGCTGGGTCTGGGTCAGTGCTCCATCCTTGAGTTGAGATGACCAGGCTGGGTGGGTCATTGGGATAATCCGGGGGGTGGGTCATTGGTCTAATCCGGGGGAAAAACATGGACCTGCTCCGCTTGGGTCAGTAGGCCTGTTGCAGTGTTCCTTCTTTCTTAGGTTCTTATGTTCTTATGTAATGCTCATTACACGACAGTGCGAGGGGTTACTGGAGCGGTGAAACTAGAGAATGGTGATGAGAGTGGGAGTGGTGATGAGAGTGGGAGTGGTGATGAGAGTAGGAGTGGTGATGAGAGTGGGAATAATGATGAGAGCGGGAGTGGTGATGAGAGTGGGAGTGGTGATGAGAGTGGGAGTGGTGATGAGAGTGGGAGTCTGGTGTTTGGTTGTGTTGGCGAGGGAGTTGAAGGAGAAGGTTAGTATTTACGAATGCATTGAAGTCTCTAGGGGTGTTAGGTGATGAGGAGGGAGATGAGTCTTGGTCTTAGGTGGACTCTTGATCCGTGGAATTGGAGGTGGGTTGGATGGTTACTTTATTTAGCAAATTTAGAGAAAAAATGAAGAGACTGAAAAATACAGTATATAATTGAAATTTTAACAAGATATTATACCCGATTCAGAAATTTTAGAGAATTTATACTGTTAATATAGAAAAAAATGATGAATTAATATAAAATCGAAATGTTTACCAGCTTTATTGGTAATACCATGGAATAAATTTATATCTGAAAGTTTAAAACGATAATGAACTTACTCTAAATGTGAATTTATACCGAGACAAGAGTGATATTAAGCAGTGAAATAAGAGAGAGAAGAGGACATCGATATTAAGAGAGGTGTGAGGGATAATCCCCTGTCTGAGATGGTTGGTGGGGGGAACGTTAATTATTGCATCATGCAATAATTAGCGTTGGTGATGGAAAGAGGAACTCGGTGGTGGGTTGTGGGGATGTGGAGAGACAGAGGTGAGATTGCCAAAGGTCTACCACAAAAGTGGTAATATGTACCTTAAGGTCCATGAGAACGGTCTCCCTCTAAACACTTGTTAAGATACCCTCTAAATATCCCTATGGATAAGGTTGATATTAGCATGATTTAATTATTTAAAAATACCTTTTAAATCTGCCATTTATGAATGGTTTTATACGTCGCTAGCTGCATATCATGTGAGTGATAATTATCACCCACATGATGTAATTATCACACGTACAATTATCACATAACATATTTCACATTACAGGATAGTGCGAGGGAGTCTGGTGTTGTGAAGGGGTAGGTGGAGTCAGGTGTTGGGTAAGGTTGTGTGTAGAATAGAGGATGTCTGTGGGTTATGACTGATTCGGTTAGTGATCTGATCAAGCCAATTATGGAATTCATCCCCGAAACCTGCCATCCCATCTCTGTCTACATGAATTTTTACTCTAGTTTAAACATAAGGCAGGTGCAGTGGTCCGGTTGCAGATGTTGAATCTCTGATGTTGAATCAAGGAATGCGCATTCAGTGATACTGTAAAAAATTATCTGTATGAAATTCATTTTCGTACAGGTAATTTGGGTGAGGTAAATATTACTTACCAATTTCTGTTGCACCTCTGAGGTAAATGCGATTTAAGACACTTTAGGTCACAGGAAAGTGTCTCCTTCGCTACCCACAACCCTCAAACCACGCTCACAAAATCCGGGACCTAAAATTATACATTACATTTAAGACACCAGTAGTTCTGGCAAACTGATTCGTTATGGACTGTATGTTGTTTATGACTGAAAAATCGAAGTGGGGTCCACTTATATTTACATTCAATATAGTCATGGTGAATATTAATTAAATGTTTAATATTATCACTTAACATTTTGTTTTTCTGGAAGCAACTTAATGCAGATAGATCACTCCACAACACCTGCCTTACCATCTAGAACCTACACTGGCCAGCTAGTTCTACATAAAAAGACGGTTTATACTTCTCTGTGAGGTGTGAGGACCACATCCCTTATTTTCTTCCATTCACGCAAAATTTCTTGATGTCACACCAATTTCTTGTCCCCATTTCTTCAACAGGAACATATCACCATCTTCAATTATAATTTTGGGGCCTGTACCCCATTAAGAAAGGGAAAACGCCGAATTTCTGGTGCAAATTACAAAGTGGCCCCACTCATTGAATTCAATATGGCATCCTCCTTCCTCCGCCCCGGCCGTCCCCGCAACTCACTTTCACACTTAATTTCTCGAAGGTCAAATCAGCATAATTTTAATACACAATTATTATATTATACAAAATTACACATGCTGACTTCAGGAAAATTAAAAAAATTTCCACAGCTGCCGGGCAGTTCATTGAAAAAACGACTTAAATTAAATAAAATGATTTTTGCACTCTATTTTGGCTTACAAATTTTACACACATTAATTAATCTATTATTGAACCTTTTACATTTTCCCGTTTTAGCACCAATTTAATTTCATCTCCATATATTTCTTCTTGCACCCTATGAAGCCAGCATTTCAGAGGATGTGGAAAATTATATGAGATATTCATTCTGATTATAAATTTAAACACTAACATTGTTACATTAATTAGTTTTGGTAAGGAAGAATGCCTATTAATATCAGTGGCTAAGGAGGAACAAATTATTGGAGCGGTGGTCACACTAATTTCAACAGGAACAATATGAGCCTTTTGTACAGGCAAATTTACTTTATTTACCAACCAGCTTGGTCCTCCTAACCAAGATAAAGTGTTTACAAATATAGCATAAGTCAAACCTCGTGACAAGAAATTGGCTGGATTCTCATCACCGGGTATATGATTAAATTTTAATAAATATTGACCTAAATTTATATTTCTCTTGCATTTGATTAGTTTCAGCGGCTCTGTTTTGTACGTACAAATTCATACTGTTACCATTACGAAGCCATTGTAAGGATACCTCATTATCAGACCAAATTACTGCGTTGCTAATATTAATATCCTGCAATTTATTTCTCATATAATTAGCTAATTTGACACTTATGTAAATGGCTGTTAATTCCAACTGAGGTAATGTACGCGATTTAATTGGAGCCACTTTAGCCTTAGACAAAACAAGAGAAATAGCATTATTACATTCAATATAAGCGACTGTTCCATATGATAATTTTGAAGCATCGCGACGTTATGTGGGAATTCCAACATTGGTATTTTTACATAGTCACATATTAATTCTTCCCACTCTTTAATAAATTCTCTAGGTAAGGTTCCCCTCAAGGGAGGTTCCTTGATGCTGGTGAGGGGCTCTTGATCTAGGGAATTGGATCTGTGCTCCAGTTCCCTGAATTAAACCTTAATACCTTCCACATCACCCCACAGGCGCTGTATAACCATACGGGTTTAGCGCTTCCCCTTTGATTATAATAATTTAGGTAGGGCTGCATCCCAAGTAAAGTTAAGCTTCCATGCTTCTTGTATTAACAATTTCCGTCTTATTGTAAGGGGTGGCTCTAAGCCTAGCGAGTCGAAGCATTTGGAAACTTCAGCAAGCTAGACTCTTGGTTAATTTATTGGGCATACTATAATTATTAGGTTTTAACAATAACAAATCTCTCTCAGTATCCCAGGTTAATCCCAATACATTACTACATTTAAGTACATCAACTCCAGGGTAATCTTTATTTTGTCCTTTAATTTGGACGAATTGTTATTCCATTTCCTCATAGGCATAATGGCAATTTGCATTATTTTATTAGCCTCTTCACATGTCCTCATCAGTTCCTCTTGAGTTGACGTCACACCCAGGAAATTGCCCACATATATTTGTTTCCTCATTACTTCACTCAGTGGAATACCTGTACGTTTAATGTGTGCATTTATTGTCGCCTGAAGTAGGAACGGACTAGATGTAGCACCAAATGATGTACTCCTAAATCAAAAAGTTTTCAGAGAGCTAAATGGGTCACTAGAATTTTTAGGCCACAAAAAAAAAAAAAAAAAAAAAAAATGGGTACAATCCCGGTCAGCTTCCTGCAAATCCACTCATAGGAAAGCTTTACTTATATCAACCGTAAAGACGTAATTCTTAACCCTGAAATTTAACAATACGTCTCCTAATTTTTCCATCAACGACGGACCTGTCATCAGACAGTCATTCAAATTGGGTACATTTTTATTACTCCAAGCACTACAATTAAACACAATTCTTAGGGGAGTAGTTTTAGAGTCCTTTTTAACTCCATGGTGTGGTAAATAATGACCATGTGTAGATGAGTGGTTCAGAGAACCGACATGTTGATAAATTAGACACATGTGCACCTCTTGGGTATCTTTATTGAGGAAACGTTTCGCCACACAGTGGCTTCATCAGTCCATACGTAGGAGAAACTTGAAGAACAGGAGGAGAATGAGGTAATCAATCCCTCAACCTTGGGTCGATGTGTTCAGTCCATCAATCTTGAATAGAAATAGAAACGTTTCCTCGATAAAGATACCCAAGAGGTGCACATGTGTCTAATTTATCAAATAATGACCATAAATTTTTGCCTGCTCAGGAGGTACTTCCTCTATGAATTTATTCTGGAACTGATTATTTATTATATCATTATATGCAGTCAATAATTCTGGTGTCTTACTCAATTCGTGGAGCTGAACCTTTAAGTGCCCATAGGCTATTCTATAATTTGTAGCTAATTCTGCATGATTCAGCTTCCACGGGATTTACACCCAGTATTGTCCAGATTCATATTTAACATTCTTCAGGTATTGTTCCTGAGTAAAGGAATATCTGGACTTCATTTTCATTGATTCTGATACTGCCCAGTTCCTACAATTTATACACTGGCTCAACATCATCCTCTATGGAAGAATATTTATAGTGGGACGCTATTTCATGAGTAAGACACACAGTGACTGTATTTATTATTTTCCCTAGTCATTCATTATTAGTACGATGAAGCCTACCATACATTACATGACCTCCTGCAGTCTTTAGAAGAGTAACACCACATTTCTTTACCAATCCCTTTACAAATGAGGCATAATAATCACTCCCTACTAAAATATTTATTGGCTCCACAGTCATAACTGCGTTGATAAGTTTCACCTCATTGCCCAGGCCGACATTTACATGCACAGTGTCGTACAACTGGGTTTTTTTTATCTGACAGAAAACCAGATAATTTTAGATTTGTAGGATCCCCCATTCGCACTCTCATATCATTTAGGTAACTACGTTTTATGAAAGTGCATTGTGATCCTTGGTCCAGCATTGCATTTACTTTTTTTGATTTATACCTTGTATCCCTAATGTTTACATTCACCAAAGGTAAGGCTACTTTAGCTAAGCCATCATCATTAACATTAGCTGCAATTTTTACATTGGTAACTGTTGCGCCAGGGTCATAAAGAGTACTATCATTATCATCTTCATTATCACACAAACCAT